GAGGAGAAAACCTGAATGCTTTCCACCTTGAAGGACAAATCTCAAAGTTTTAGCAATCATATGAAAAATAACTTACTTTTTTCTGGAGGAGGCAATGAAAAATGAAGATAAACATTCCTTGGAAGGTGTTGAATATTGTGAACAGGTACGCCATGACGATCGAGGCCTCGCTGATAAAAAAGAGACCAAATGACCACGTGAGGCCCAGCAGGCACAGCAGGGCGAAAGCTCCCATCACCCAAGACCTAACAAACAGAAACAGAAAACACAAGAGCGTGACAAATTTAACATGAGAAATGCTCARTGACAAAATAACAACAGGGATCTGTAGAATTTACATTTTCTTAAATGTGAAAAACTTTTAAAAAAATTACAATTTATAATTTGTGTGACAAGAAAAACAAAGAATGAGGAGAGAAAAAAACACATAAGCTTTAACTACTCCATCTCTACCCCTTCTTTCACATTTCCAGTTCAAACCTAAAAGCAGTTCCTGCCGTCAGAAAGACATAAAGGAAGCAAAACTTTGATCTGCTTTCCTGCAAATAACTTTGTCATGTGTCAGAACGTACTGAGCAGCAAATTCAGAAAGCGAAGCATGTTTTAAAATATTTATCTAGTGTGTGTGTGTGTGTGTGTGTGTATGTGTGTGTGTGCATGTTTGCAGAAATGGGGGTACAAGAAAGATGTGCAAAGACTTCAAGGATCAACAAAAAAAAAAATCATTCTTTGTGTGTAAAGGTCCAGTGAAGCCATTAGACAAACAGTTGTCACAGTTCAATGCTCAAACACACGAACAACAATAACCACAACACTGAACCAAACTGATGAAAATGGCGAAAGTGACCAATTACAAGGACAGACGATGAGAAGCTTTAAAGCTGCAGTTTGGAAAAAGGAAAAAAAAAAAAGTAAACGATAGAGGCAAAAAGGCGAGAGAACGAAGAAGGGAGCGTGACGAGGATACGCTGGGAAAAAAAAGAGACTTCTGGGCAACATGTTCTTACTTGATAAAGTGTTTATTATCTTCATAGCTAGGGAGCATGATAGGCAGGAAGAGAGAAACACAATTAGATCACAGCACAGAATGGTGCGGGTTAGTTGGCACTTGAGCGTAAGATCTTCAACTTTGATCCAAGGGAAATTTGGGTTGAACAAGGACCAAAATTTGTATATTTGGCTGCCGGATGATTCAGTTACAACAATTTCACTCAAAGCAATGCGTTTTGCTTAGAGAACACTGTCTTGTAGTTGAATTTGCATGGGCGCAGGCTGTTATGTGGGGTAAAATTATTTGAGGTGAGTGATGAAAGCTTACCCTGGCAAATCTGTATTATAGTAGCCATCACATACGCGATAATTACTGGTGTGGGAGCGCAGAACAGAGAGGGAGAGGAAGAGGGAGAAAGAAAAGCAGAGGGTGTGCATTAGCTTTGCATTCACATGCAACGTGCAACATGCAACAGTCAGTGTGCTAAACTGACTCTGAGTGCACAAAGAACACAAAGAAAATGACCACAGGGGAACGGCTATTAGCACACAGCGTATTCGGTCAGAATAAACAAGCCTAAATGAAACTATTTTAACATTCAAGAAGAAAATGAAGGCCAATCTAAAAAGCCGCCGAGGTCAGAATATGTGGTCTGCTGCGGTTTACTCCATAAGGAAGTAGTCAGTGACAAATAAAACAAGATGTCTAAATAAGCCCTTTACGACTGTTCTCCCTGATTGCGGTTTTACCACAGTGTTATAATGTTGCTCAAATTTAGAAAAGATTAAAAAACACCCAACTATAAATAGTAAKAGCAGTTCTATAGAGTGGCTTCAGCCGGAACACTGACTGTGCTAACACGATCCTATAAACTCYCATTTCTACAGCAACCAATAAGACCGTTTAATGGCAAATAAAAAAGGGTCCTGCAGCGAGCTTTATTAAATAGTGTTCTATTGACAAGTGGGGAAAAATAAATATAGCTTTTTTTCCTCCAAGAGCAAAATGTTAGGGTGGAAAATAAAAACAAAACAACAAAGATTTGTCATGTTCCAGGGGCAAACACACATAGTAGTTTTCCCTCTGCACCCCACCCAACCAACAGCTCACAGCACCACAGTTAAGCTGCCGCCTTAAGAGTGATGTGTGTCACGTCAATGCAATTCTGTGGTTAGTGGTTTGGAGCAAAACAACGCAGGCACAAAGAAAGCTCCTCGCAAAGTATGTGCACCACTTCACCAACAAAAAAATCCTGCCAGAGCTAAAAAACTTGTTTCACTTCTGCTGAAATACCATTTTAAATGTCCTTTCTTATTCCAATATTGTCTAACATTTGGCAGAAAATAGTTTAACTATTCTTTTATATTTATTTTTACATGAGTGAAGGCTAACAAACGTTAAGGGGACGGGCGACTAAAAACCAAAACCACAAGTGTAGAAAACTTTATAGCTCCCCATAGAAGTGGCAAAAAAATCCCACACTGCACATACAAAGGGAAATGTTGAGTTCAGAGTGCAATGCTTCACTTACTTTATATTCTCCAGTCGGCTGGAGTCTGGTTTCAGGGTGGTGGAGTGCTTCACCATTTTGTACATCGTGATCATCAGGAAGATGAGATTGAGCTGTCAAAACAGTAACGGCGGTGTTAATTCATAAAGATATACGACTCAAGACAAAGCAAAGAAAGAAAGAAACCGTTAATTTGTCTATAATTATAATCATTAAAAGAGCCTTTAACTCTACATGTTCTCAGACTGATCCAATAAACGTCTATCACTAGTCTCAGACTGGCCGACTGGCGCCAAATTTAGTGTCATTCTATATCAACAGGAGCATGAAAATGCATTAAAATCCATCAATGTGAAAAAGAAAAAAAAAGAAAGAAAATAGAAACAGCCACACAGCAGCAGTCCGGTAATGTCAGAAGGGAATGAAAAGTAGCAGGAGAAATAAGAGCCCATTGTTGTACAAAACAACTGCATATCATTTTATGCACGTAGTGAAATATTATGAGGTATAACCAGCAACAAAAGGCTTGGGGGAACATGGTATATTTTCTTCAATTCTCTTGTGTGTCCAGATGAAAAGGATGAAAGAAAGAAAAAAACAAGAAAGAAAGGGAGAGGGAGCTTGTTCGCTTTTTTCCCCTCCCCCATTTTCTTAAAAGTATTAAATCTTAAGGGAGAAGGTGGCACATATCTGGTTGAGACAAGGATACTATGAGCTGTGTTTCGTTCTGAGCACATTTATTTGGTACCTTTAAAAATCAATAGTGTGATTTAGAGACACAAAGGATAGATTGTCCAGCAAAGGGGCTCCTCCAAATAATTTACTTCAAACACATTTATTCTGGAGCAAACTGGTCCTCGACACGGCATGTACAAGCACTCACAGCAGACGTACCAGGCTGTTTTTGTACTGCAAGCCTGCCATGTATAAATAATGTCACGAAATGTCTGCGAAGGGCAAAATTCTGAGGCGCAGTAAAGTTTTTAATCAGCCGGTAATCAAACGGTACACAAAAACACTCAAACAAATACTTTCACAGTGACCAGTGCTTTTAGCCGTACGAATGAATGGTGCTTTTCGGTGTTATTTTTAGAATGCCAGAAAGAAAGAAAAAAATAGAGATGAAAAATAGGGGGACCTTTTGTGAGCTGGACTCAGACCACAGTCATTCACTCTTGAACAGAAATTTCTGAGTGTTCTGGTGCACACTGCTATCAAAAGACTGCCTGTGATCAATACATCACCCCCTCCACATGCAATCAACTCATGAAGCTGCACACAATAAGCCAGGCTTCAGAAGAAAGGGATGGCAAGAAAGCATGAAAAAAYGGYAAAAAATCAAAAAGTGACTTTTTTCCCTTTTTTTCATAGARGACATTGAAACTGTTTTGTTTCACAGCTACCACCCATTACTTCCGCCAGCCGTCTGAATGAGTATGACAGAGTGGGTGGGGAGGAACAGGTGGGGGAGGACTTTTGAAAAAAAAAAAAAAACCTTTCACACATGGAGTGGTGACATGGATCCAATGAGACAGAGGAGAGGGACACAGTACTTTAAAGCAAGCCAGCAGCAAGGCACATGTTCCCACCCCCACCGACATGCTTTCGCAGCCCTTCCCGGGGGGATCTCTCTAGCTGGAGCAGAGCTGCCTTGCTTCTATCCTTCACTCTCTTTCTGAATCATCACTGCAAGCCATGCAGAAGCAACCTCGACTCACTGAGACTGAGGAGAGAGCTTTTTTTTTTTTTGAAGTGGACTGTGTGTGTACACCCTGAACTCCAAATGAACTGCAGGGGATGAAATATTAAAGGTGCAGATGGAGCTGTCCGGATGACAAGAACTGTTCATGACGTGTCATGATCCAAAGGGCTTGGCGTTGAAGCTATCTCAAGCATGCTAATGGCTCCCCACCACCACTCATTACTTCCGTGTTCTCCTTTCATGGAGCTAATACCTCCTGAGCCCAGAGACGGGCGACCTCTGCTTAACAACACAGATCTAAATGCCTGCTCCCTGCTCTTGTTTTGAGTCAGTATTTCAGACCCATTTCAACAGGAGGAGAGAGGGAAAAAACATGACAACTTCGGGTTAAGATCAGTATTACTTTACGCTAGCATGGCTAGGGCTGTACTGTTTTCCTCATTTCTCCTGCTCTTATAGCCCTCTCTCATTGACAAGGACACAGCCAATTTGTAGAGAAACCAGGGTCACGGATGATGTAGACAAAACCTTGCTCCTGCCTGCTCCCCTGAGATGTTTTTTTTCCACAGTGCTTTGTCTTTTTTTTTGGAGACAATTGTTGCGTGGAACCAGAAGAGCGGCGCACCAAGCCCAAGCCAGTGCAARAAAACCTCATTCCTGTCACAGATTAGCTTCGCAGCAATACATTAGCTCCTCACAGGGTCATGATTCTATCTTTCTGGTCATCACCGCTGGGATCCTGATCATCATTTCCACTGCAGACGTATTTTTCATGCAAATTATTATGAGAGCAACAGTCGATTGGAAAACAATGAGAGCCCAATTTGGGGGGTGGGGGCATATTCCTGTGTGGCTGACAGAGCATTTGCTGAGGCAGGAAGAACCGTGTGTTTGCTTTAATACAATGCTCGCTTTTTCTTCAATTATAAGCTCACACGTTCAAAGCGGGTGCGGAAGGGGAGAAAACAAAAACGAAAACAAGAAAGAGGCTTTCTCGGCATCGACTCGAAAAGCATTTCAGTCTGGTGCAGACCTTCCTCAGGTCCTCTGTGTACCTCCTCATCCATCTTTAAATGCAACATCGAGACGTAATGTTTCTCTTTGAGAAAACTGTGAAATGCAGTCCAGTTAGTAGATTCGTCTTTTATTTATTCTGCCACAACACACAAAGAGACGTTCTGTAGCTTCGCTTTAAAAGCTCCAAGCAGTCGGCCAATGGTGCGCAGACACTCGCTGGAATTTGACACAGCTGCCCCCTTTTCTCTCTTGTATATTTTCAGTGTCAGCTTGATGTTCAGCAGAGGTCACTGCATCTGTAGATACTGTACCAACCATTAAGCTGTATAATATAAAGTCGGCGCTCAACAAATACCCCCCCTCAACCTCCCTGCATGAAAGCGAATCAAGTTTGCAGAAATTTGCCATCCCTTAGTTTGTACAAGGGCAAAGCAGCGGTTAGTGTGGAAGGCTTTGAGTATATATATGTGAGGGATAGCAGATGCTATTTCCTTTTTTTTTACTTGTGCAGAGAAGTCAGACTCCCCGAGGTCTCATTCTTCTGAGCCTCTCTGATGGAGCGGGAGATAATAATGTCATGACCAGTAAATAATTGCATGCCTTTTATGGGACATATGTCAATAGGAAATGCTATATGTCCTTCACCCTTGATGGTCCTTGACCAAACAGAGAGGTGCCTTTGCTTTTTTTCTCTCCCTGACACCGCCAGCTCCTTTTTACTAAAGGCAGACAAACATACGGAAGCGGATGCAGAGGAGAATAAAGGGAGGAATAAACTCAGAAATTGCCATTCTCGATACAAACTCCCACATTAGGCCAATGCCTAATACATATTTCCAACTATGTCACATACAGTATCAATTGAAAGCTATTAGGTAATGTCACTTCGTAATACTTGTACAAATATGGGGTGAAAGTACACCATCAAGCCCTGATTCTTGTCGAGGCAGTAAGAGGCACAAAGAATTGTCGGGCGCCTCAGAAATCTGTCTTTGGAGCAGAATTAACCTGTCATCGCTGAGGAGACAAGTTGAGGAAAAAAAAATCCTGCTGACTTTTCCTCTCGGTTTACCCGCTTCACCTATTTATCTCGCTCCTGCATCTCTTTCATCTCACGTTCTCCCAGTCCCTTCCACTCTCTGACAGCCTCAGTATTCAAAGCAAAAATAAAACAGCTTACCATGATGATAAAGGTGACAGGTCCTATAAAACTCCATATGAAATGATTGTCCACACTTAGCCAGCACCTAGGAACAAAAAACAGATTGTTTTAGCTTTAGCCCAATGTTGTATAAAGTACCTGAAAGTGATACTTGAGTAAAAGTACAAGTATCTTATCATAAAATTACTTTGGTAAAAGTTCAAGTCTCCTCTAAGAATATTACTTGAGTAAAAGTCTTAAAATATCTGATTTATTTTGTACTTAAGTATCAAAAGTAAATTTCTGACATAAAATGTACTTAAGTAATAAAAGTATTGAGTAAAAATGAGTGGTTAGTTTTTCCAAAATACATTTATTGGAAGGTGACCTCTTCAAAAAAATTTTTTTCTAAAGGCGTGCAGCTTTGATTAATTGTATACAAACTAAATACAGTATCAGAATGGTATATATTTATACTTCTCATCCAACCACAATTAAATTCACTCCATCCCGGAGACACAACTTTTCAGGATAGTATTTTTTTAACAATAACAAGCTGAAATGAAAATAGGAGTAATGACTTTCTACTTCTTACCTTTTTTTAAAAAAATGTAAGAAGTAGAAGCAAAAGTAGGCTGAAAAATAATTACTCAAGTAAAGTACAGATAACTAAAATTTCTACTTAAGTACAGTAACAAAGTATTTGTACTTATACAGCTCTGCTTTGGCCAGTGCATACAACAATTTTGTCTTCTTGCAAATAGATACTAAAAGAAAGAAAGAAAGAAAGAAAGAAAGAAAGAAAGAAAGAAAGAAAGAAAGAAAGAAAGAAAGAAAGAAAGAAAGAAAGAAAGAAAGCTGTTGTTGAACTGGTCATATTAATGTGAGGTCTTTGTTTTTACACCTATTAATAACCTACATTACATTTGTAAGAAAAAAAAAAAAGAAGACCCAAAGACGTCCCTCATAACAGTCACTGATATATTATGGCCATTAATTTATGCAATAGGTTTCTTCTGTGCGGCACTTTTCTCTTTAAGAAAGCATTTACAAACAAGAGGTCACAGGAGGGTCTTTGAACAGACAAGCATTAATGTAGCTGCGCCCACTGGTGAAACCACAGTGTTGGGTCTGTCAGCCGCTTTCAAATGACATGAAAAATTGAACAGCTGCCCATCCCTGGCAGAAAAAAAACACTTGAATGTTTTGGTGTAGTCTCCAGGGATGCACATAGGGTGCTGGCAGAGATGATGAGTTGATTTCTTTTCAAAATCTGCCACACACAGACACAGCAGGTAGGCCCACAAAGTGGAGTATCCAGCATGTTTGTTCTGCATCTACGAGAATGTGTTCAGACAGCTGCACTTACGCTTTCTTGGTCCCGTAGCTGCCGTAGTCGATGGCTGCGGAAACGCCGACGACGATGGCAGGGAAGAGGTACCCAGATGCGTAATAGTACTTTTTTCGTGAATATTCGCTCTCAAAGACCTCCACGAGCATAAGGTACAGCTGGACTCCCTCAAGGCACATCCAAGAGAAGGAAGCCAGGAAGAAGAAGTGGAGGATCCCTGCAATGATGGCGCATCCAATCTGAAAAGGAATAATTACGGATTCAGTCGAAAAATAAAGAGTCAAGAACAAACAATACAGTAAGAGTTTTCATAAAATGGCAAGTTTTTTTTATTAGATTAACTTGAAAAATAATATGTCAAGCTGTACCTCTYTTGTATTTTTTCATCCAGACAATACATCAAACATCCATATATTTTATTAACACCCACAGAAAAGATGACATTTACAGTTTCTGCTTCTCTCACTCAGCAAAACGTATATCAGTGAAACCAATGAAAAAAAACATAATGAATATTCATTCACCACATGCATGGCCTTACTTTTCCATCAGCACAGCAGAAATTAAAATGTCATGCATATTGTGAGGTTAGAGTTACTAGATTTCAACACACAGCTCAGCACTCAAAGCTTTGATTTCCTCACTGCATGCAGAAAATGTTTCTGTAATTTGGGAAATTGAGTGGAAAATGTGGATAAAAATGTTATAAATTGGTATGTATGCAAGCTAAGCTCTGGCAGACGCAGTGGCTGTAAGTGGACAAAAAGTTAAAAAGACCTGTCAAATGTAAGACATGTCTCCTTAGTCATCTGTAATAATGATACTAATGTCAAGTCAGAGACCAGGAGAAAAGCTTAGAAACACATCACTTTTTTAAGTCCCATCAGTCATAAAGAGCCTTTTGTTATGAGGTATGAGAAAAGATAAAGTGAAAGGAAAAAAAAAACAGGTAATCAATCCAACCTACCCTGGGTTCTGTCATTTCAATACCAATTAGGAATATTAATTCTGCAATGAAGAGATTGATGCACAGGTTCTTGTGGATGGTGTTGCGATCGCTCTGCAGGCCTCGGAAGAAGCAGAAGGTGAAGATGCAAATGGTGAGGCAAACAAGGGAGACCGCGATGCCCACCCGAGTGATGACAGTAAGAAGCAGCTCATGGGAATCTCTAATGTTGCCCTAAAATACAAAACAAACAAAAAACAATTAGCCAGAGGCAAAACATATTGGTAAAGAGACAGAAAGTCAGCTCATTTGTTTTCTTCCTGCCCTGCACAGAAGAGATGAAGATTGTGTACAATTAATTTTGTTCATGCAATGTGTGGAAAAAWGAAAAAMAAAAACAAAACAAAACAAAAAGCCAGGAACAGAAACTAAAAAGTCTTTAGACTAACAGATACATAATAAACAAAATTTTCAGTGTACAAAACTTTAATACTAATAACAGAAATATGACTTGATGACCAAACATGTACAAAATATCTGTTTATTTTCAATCTATCTTTGTGCCTTTTGGGGTAAATATTGCAAAGAAAGGTTAAAAAACAGTTTAAATCTAAGTTCCAAGGTATTTGTTTCTAKTAACATATTAATGGAGGTTCAATAGTAATCAGGGATAAAATATGGGGGACAATTGAAGGAAAGCAGAAGAACAAAAAAGGAAAAAGATTTTTTGTCAATTAACTTGCAATAAAAACATTTTAGATACAGTAAGTATGCATTAAATTATGCATTGCATGCTTTTAAATTCTTCTTTTTCACATTTAAATCATTCAGTTGGGGTCTAAATAAAGTGGAGCTGCAATGCGTTGGTCTGAATTCCTCCTTGCAACCCCACAAGCCCCTCTTTCACCACGTTTCTGAAGTGTGTTTCAGATCAACTCATTTTGAGGCTGTCTCTTCAAATCCAAATAAAACACTTCACACCCCCCAGTTTAATAGAGGAGTTTACGACTATACAGCTGCGCAGACATGCTTTATTTACAAATTAATTAAGATGTCAACATGGAGCCAGAGTCCATCACAGAGCAAGAGAAAAATTACATACAAGAAAAATGTAGTTGATAAGTCCATACCTTATATGTCTGTTTCATCAAAAATTAATTTCATCCCAAAGGATGATTAAAAAAATGTAATTGGTTTATGGTAACTGTCACAAACCACACAAAAGTAACTTTGCGAATAAAAGGCATTCTGACCATAGAAAGCATGTTGGCTAAACATGTACTGTAATGTGATGTGTAAAACCACTGTTCTGACAATTCTGATTATTAAAAATCTTGTCAAATTTGGCCATAAAACCAAACAATCAATTAATTGACGTCTAGTCTGCAGTCTGAGCCTCTAAACATTAAAAAGTGTCACTATCTAAATGTATCTAAAGTTGAACAACAGGGATTTAAAAAATAAAATGGAGCGACATACTGTGATTTCACGGTGTGCCATGAGGATGGCAAAATTGGTGAGATGGCTGCACGAACAGGTGGTGTGGGTTTTATTGGAGTCCAGGAGTTTGCAGCCCTGCGTGGACCAGTAGCCCATCATACTCCTCTCAGAGTAATTCCAGAAGGAGCAATTGGAGTTGAAGTAGTGCTCCATCTGCAGATAACAAGAGTTATGGTTAAGTGTCCAAATAATTGACTTCCCAAAATTGAAGCACATGTAGAACACAGAGGCCATTTACCCCCTACTCATACAAAGTATTTTTCAGCACTGATATGGATGAGAATTTTTTCCCTTCACAGCTCTTATGAAGCCATTCATATGTTGTATCTCATTTGGCACGTGCCTGCTCTACCGAAGCATGGTTGAGTATATGAGGCCTTAATAACAGAGAAGCATAATTGTTTGACGGCGTGTCTTTAGAATTGCACAGTTTCTCTGATAAAGAATGGAGTCACGCATGGCCCTCTGGGAACTCCAGTGACAACTTTAAAAGACAAAAGATAATTGGTGCTCCAGTAATTTCATCCTAGATTGTAGGGCTAATCTAGGAGTTAATTTCCCCCTCTATAAAAGAAAATGGGTATCATTTATATCCCAATGTTGATTAAAGAATTAGTTTTCATTAAGAATTCACTTAGGTTCTAAAGACTCCTTTAATTTGATGTTCAATGACTTAAATAAACTGCCGACTGACCTAGTGAGACATTTACAATTCAAATAGCAGATCTCTGTCTACTCTGGCTGTTCTCTCCTGGTGCCTTTTTTTCTARATATATAAATGACCTCTTCATTCATTTCTGCAGGGAGACTTACATCAATGTGCTGCAGGGTGAAAATCACTGGGTCATTAATGAATACACGGCTGGACTCCTTGTTAAGCGAGGCAGCGATGATGTCAGAATTGACGGCCACTGACACGTTACGACCGTAAGCCTCATTGGCCATCTTGATGGTGGCYTTCTCTGTGCCAAGGAACTGGCTCAGGTTTTTGTACAGCACAAAAACTAGCTTGGCAATTCCTGGAGAGTGAAATATGTATTTAAAAAAATTACAATTAATAATAAAAAATTGTGGTAATAAAATAAACAGATAAAACATGATTCTAAGCAGAAAGGTAAACATTCCAATACATTTTTTAGGGTTAGGGTTAATGGAGTTTAAAAACTGAAGCAAATGACAAGTATGACAAAGGTGTATAAGAGTTAAGGGGAAAAAAGCTTTCTTTATATGAAATCTTATTTCTTTTTAAATACACAGTTTCCTGGCCTTTTTATGGTATATATGATTTGCAGCACATTAAGCCCAAACCGCATTTAACTCCTTRCTCTTTTCAGCCCTTTCTCGACACTTTGCACAATCATAATGGGGTGAAACATGTCCTAATCAATTTCCAAGAAAATACATTTTAATGAGGATTAGGCATGACGTTCTGAATGTTCTACATTATATGTCTTAAAACTAAAACCTGTACAATGTTCATTTGATGCATTCTAATGGGATGCATTTGTGTTAATTGTTAAAGTAAAAATTCTGAAAAGAAATTTGCATTTCTTTTAATATTTTACTGTAACAACAAGCTCTGTAGTGTCCATTTAGATGTGTAGTTGTATCACATTCAGCATTATCAAATATCCTTAGCATTCATGCAAAGCTTTTAAAAGTAATACCTCTTTAGATTTTTCTTTTCAACAAACATCACAACATATAATTTGTGCAGGGGCATACTGTTGTTGCAAATTTATAAAGCCAATTGTTGACTGAGTGCTGTACAGTGTTGCATAACACTATTTTAACAGCTATTCTTTGCAACTTGAATTAAGGGCCCATATATGTGTATGGATAGAGTTAGTGGTAATGCTAGGACATTAGTTTTGACCTAAGTGAATACATTTAATTGTTTGCCACTAAATGAATAATCACTTTGTTAGTCACTGGGGTCAGTGTTATTTGTCAGACGTACCATTTCGACTGTTTAGTTTAACTGTGTTGGCCGACAGCTGAATTGAGATTCCACTCTTGCTGTACTGTGGAAATTTAAAGTCCTGGACTTGGCCATCTGTGCCGAGCACGTACACATCCAGAACTGCAGATCAAAGAGAAACAAAAACAATGTAATATAAAAAAGTTATTGTTGACATTTTGACTGAAATTTTTAAAATGCCAAAAGAAATACCAAAAACAGCAGAGCCTTGTATACTGATACCAGAGGTTTTTTTTTTCTTGAACTTTATTCACAAACTGTTACAGTATGCAGACCAAAGGACACAAGAACATGTCATGTGAACACTGAATCTTGGCGAGAGTGAACTATGCAATAAAAATGTCAATCACAAAGTGATTCCCCCCCCATCCAAGCTCTAGGTAGTATGAATAAAAGAAACCTTCCCTCGATGGTTTACCAGATGAAGAAAATGAGAAAAGGAAGACTAGGCTGTGGATAAACAATGTAATTTTTCTGACTCCACAGCAGGCTAATGTTCACATTAATGTATAGAGTTACAAGGTCTAGACACATACATTTGTAAAGTAAGTGTGCGCAATCAGAGAATCCAGTCTATTTAATTGTCTAATATTCATCACTTTGTCAGTAAGCGACTCGTTGAACTTAATATGTGCCTTTTTTTCCTGTTCCCCCAGGGTTTAAATGCTTATTATGAAAACAAAGTCCTTCCTTTATGGGACAACATTGTTTTCCCATATTAAGACTAACTCTTACAATGGAATGAGACTAACCAAATTAACACAGATTGCACTGATCGTGAATGCGTGTCATTCGGCCACTTTAAACTCTGCTTTACTTACTTATATTATCAGCAGGAACTTTGACAATGGCGGGTTCCACGAGGTTGTCAGCAAGGACAAAGGCTCCTTCCTCTAGTGTATCCAGTAACATGGTGGCTGCATGAGTTTGCTCGGTGCGGTTCATGTCCTGCCATGACTTCAGGGCCTCGGGTCGCAGAAGGTTGTCAACTGTATCCACAATGGCCTGCGTCAAACCAGGCAAGACAGGGAAACAACAAATAAACAAAATAGGAACATCAACAAATTGAAATGGCTTTCTTTGGAAATGTACAACTCACAATGACATGCACACTTTGAAATGAATGAATGAAGAATTCTGAAGAATCACATTAAACCAAGGCATTCTTATTTTACAATAGTCAAAAAGAGACATTTCCTGGATCAAAAAGAGATTCTTTTGAAAACCATGTTGACCATGAAGGACAAACTGAGAGATGTACTGGTGCATCACTGATGATAGGGATTTTGTTTCTTGTTCAAGGACGTTGAATCATGGCAGACACTTTGGGTCACAGTGTACTGAGCCTACCAGGCCGGTCTGATAACAGGATATTAAGAGCTGTCCTGATGAAAGCACCAACGATTGTCCTCAATTAAAATTCTCTAATTGCAAAAACTCTGTATACAGCTCACCCTTCGAAAAAACTTTAAAAAATGACTGAGGCAATCTGAATAATAAAATGGAATGTTGAACATTTATCCCAACTGGAGACATTCTATGGTGCCAAGAAGTACAGAGGAAACAGAATAAATTAGGGCTGCAGAGTATATTCGGGAAATTGACCTTTTTAGAAATACTAATGCACATGCTCAAATTAAGTATTTTGCATTGTGGTCAGGGGCAGAGCTACACTTTTTTGAAAGGGGTTGCACAGGGTGGCCAAGGTGTTTTAGGAGGGCACACAAATAAAGAAAACTACTCTTGATTTGAAAATTCAATGTGGCCACCATAGCTAATTTTAATTGACTCTAAGTCAGCTGTTCAAATAAATAGAGATGAAACTTTGTGTGGATTATCTAAAATATATGCTGATTGCTAGTCTCATAAAGTACCTGTGACATGCATACACTTCAAATACAAAAAGTCAAAGAAAACATCTTTATACTTAAGACAGTTGCCCTAATACGCATGATTTAACCCATTTTGCCACATAACTGGCCTATTTTCTTTAGAATTTGTCTCAACCAAATTAAAACAGGAAGTGACATCAAATAGGAAATATTTAATAAAATAAACTTGCTGGTCTTTGTTTATTAAAACAAAATCATTTAAACTTTAACTCTCCATCTCTCTTTGAAAAAGACTCAAAATAATATAAAGAAAAATTGAATTCTTCTCTACAGTCTGTGTCTATGTTGTTAGCAGTTGTAGCAATGCTCTGTTTCCATACATGCATTCCCCTTTGACATCACTTCCTGTTCCTTCACATGCAAATATCTCAACAACCATTCATCTCAGCAGCGTGAAATTTGTTTTGCAACATCTTGTCAATGCTATCTATCCAAAAATGCATTCATGTTTATCTAAAAAAAAATGATGTCACAGGCACTTTAAGCTAATTGCTAAAGCAAATTGTATAAATTACTAAAATTCAGCCATTTTTAAATAAACACATCTAAAAATTAGCGTAGCAGTAGTAGCCAAGGAACAGTCTTTAACAAAATCTGAATTCAAATATAAAATCTAAGATAGCTACCAAAGCTAATTTTAAATGGAAACAACTCAGCCATTTTTAGAAATACTGAACTGAGTTGGTATGGTGGTTACCAAAAGCAATCCCAGACATTCTGAAAGCTAATTTCAGTTTTAAGCTAAGAGCAAAGCTCATTTGAAAAAAAAAAAAAAGAGGTAAATTTCAGCCAATTTTAGACACATAAAGCTGGTAATTGGTATTATAGTAGCTGATGATATTATTCAACAAATTCTGAATGCAAATCAAAAATTCAAGATGACCACCTCAGCTAAACTCAAATGGCTATAACTCAGATGTTTTCAGAGGTGCTGAGCTGAAACTTGGTGAATTAGTAGCAAAGTGCAATCCCTAATAAACTATGAAAATCAAAAATCCAATATGGCCAACTAAGCTAACAAGGAAAAATACTATAAATCAGAAATTTGTGGATATAATAAGCTGAAATTTAGAGCAGTGGTAGCTGAGAGCACTGCCCACCAGATTCTGGCACCTGGTGTGGCTAATCTTTGACCATTTTTCTTCAGCTGTGCTCTGCAGTCATTTCACGTTGAGGACAATCACTATTACAACATTAAATGCCAATATAATTAATTTATGAATTTGTTTGTATAAAATGTCAACAAAAAAAGCAGGTGTAAATGGCTAAAAGACTACAGATGAATGCCAACTTAAAATACCGGAAGTAGCTAGAACTGTATTGGGGCCCAATTTTATGCAATTCCATTAAGTATCTTTAAAAAGGTCAGTAATCAAATCAGTGAATCTAATCAGGTAATCAATGGTGGTGGCGTCTGAAGGGAGGGGTGAGAGTTGGTGGTGGGGCAGTTAATGTGATTGTCACATATGGCAGTTGTCAGATACTACTGCTTTAACAATCCCTTGTCCCAGATCCTTTAATGCTTACATTACACCAATAAATCTTGTAATCTGCACTGTCACATCTTCTCTAACAGTGTCACAATGAATTTAAATCTGCTTTTATGTGACATTATGAACCAAATGAACGTCTGTGGAGGACTCTATGTACATGTTTTCTTTTTCTTTTTTCCACTGCTTCATTTACGTGTGCCTGTCATTTGGTTGGTTAATTAGCTTGATCTATTTTAATGTCTTTCCCAAAGGAGCAATTTTTATGTGGGTGGTGGGTGTTGGAGACAGGTGGATAACAGTGTTGTCCCTCATGTGCAGGTCAAAACACTTGAATGTTTAAATTTTAATCTAAAATGACATTTTAGAAAAAAAAATCCATTATATATATATTAGGGATGCACCGATACGATACCAGTATCGGGTATTGGTCCGATACCATGTGCGTTAACTCGTACTCGTACTTGTAAAAGTGCTCCGATACTACAGGACCCGATACCAGCTTCATTTCGCTCAGTTTGTGCATAGACGCTCTAAACCAGCAGGCGGCGTAATCGCGCAACAGACTTAATGCCAGCTGCATAAAAAACAGAAGAAGAAGATGACGACCACGTTAGCCGAGCTGAACAAACTTTAACAAGCAAGAAGTTTGTAGAGGAGGTGTTATGTCAGCGGTGTGGAGGTATTTTCAGGTGACAGTAGTAAAACGTCATCCCTGCTGTGACTGTGCTTCTGAGACTCCTGACACTGGTGAAGATCACAGAATCAAAAACAATGAAGTCCACTTTGGCTGCAGCTGTCAAGAGGCGCTTCACTGATGCTGAGAAAAAA